GATGCAAAGAGAACAAGCCAGAAGTGAAGATAATCTTAAAGAATTTATAATAATTTTTCATCTAGGTATTTAAACTCACTAGTCTCTTTATGGCTCGAGGGGACTAGTAGTAGAGATCCATTATCATTCATCGATCTTTGAGTCATGCATGTGATTGATGACAATTATGCATGCTAAAAAGAGATTGTCCATATTAAATCCTTCAATTTAAATATCAAGTTAATTGTCTTCTAATATTATGAGGAGAGAACTCTCATAGTCGTTATTGGCTTGTTGGGATAACTCAAGGTCACTTATTCCTCGAGAGAATCAAATCATGAGTCATGTGATGTCCCCGAACGTTTGGATCTAATTTGAAACAAATTACTATGTTTGTTGAGATAACTCAAGATCTAACAAATTTGTAAGTAAAGATTGATACTCACATAAGATGTGAGATGGTAAGAAGTTTTCATGTCAATTAGATTAGGAATTGCATTAGATGCAATTGTAAGAAATTACCTACATAATCCTTTATGTCCGACTTATTGAGATAACGAAGGTTAATGGATGTAAAAGGATGGAATCTTAAACCCACTAAGAAAAAATAATCAAAAAGTTTTCTTGAGTTTTATATTAAAGGTTATAAAACTTGAAAAATAAATAATAAGAACTAATACAAATTTTAATTTTTTAATTTATGTTTTATTTTATTTATATAATTTAGTTAACCAAAATTTATATATTTTTTATCCTATCGGATCGCATAGTATGATTAGCAATACATCAATATTATCGATTATTGATAGAAGTAATACCTTCAATGGCATAAACTTCCTCAACTAGGAAATGAATTTGAGAATCGTTCTTCAACATGAGAAGATTCTTTATACGATAGAGATATCTATCACGAGTAAAGCCTCCTCGGGATCAAGCTAAAGCTTATGCAGCATGGGTCAAACATAGGGATAAAACAATCATCTCTCAAAGTATCATATCGACGACTATAATGTTGGAACATAGGCATCAACATAAAGGCATGAGTGTCTTTAATATCATAGCAAAGCTTAAGAGCTTATTTGAGGAGAATACTAGGCATAAGCACTATGAGATAGCCAATAAGCTCTTTAGAGCTAGAATGGATGAAACATCCAACATCGAAAAGCATTTCACTAAGATTATAGGTTATATCGATAGGTCGTTCGAGCTTCAAGTTGGAATGGATGCTAAATTTATCGATTAATCTAAGTATCGCAATCATAGCTTTGGATAGTTCATAATGAATCTTAACATGATGCACATGAAAAAAACTCTTGGAGAGCTATTGTCCATATTGAGGGAAGCTTAGCCTAAGATTAACAAAAAGAATAAGAGTTATGTACTTCTTGTTAATAAGGAAAAATGCATGATCAAGGGCAAGAAAAAGCCCAAACATTAGAGAGAGAAAAAATCTTCTACCGTGCCTATAAGAGGGGTGAAAAAGCTAAAGGCTTAGAATAGCGTAAAGGATGCGATCTACTTTCATTACAATAAGAAAGAGCATTGAAAGTATAACTACAAAGAGTACCTAGAAGAGGTGAAAAAGAAGAGTTCTAAAACCACCTCGGGTATTTATGTTATTAAAGTTAATTTTTCTAAATTCTAATTCCACCTCATGTGTTTGTGATACTATATGTGGTGCTTATGTTTTTGAAATGTGTATGAGCTTAGAAAAAAAAAAAGATAGCTTCAAAGGAGCATGAACTACACAGGAGCAATTGATGAAGAGTTGGACCATTAGTTATAGGCACTTATAAGTTAGCACTACCATATATGCTTATGTTAAGACTCAATAACTATGATTATTTTATTCCTATTATAGATTAAGGATATATTTTCATTTCTTATTTGGAACAACTTTTTCATTTTTTTTTAGAATAATGATTATTCTTTTTTAAGATGAAGTTTTATATGAAAATGTTTTGATTGATAGTAGTTTGTATGTTTTGAACACAATGTAACTCTCATATGTATAACATAAATGCTAAAAGACTCAAATGATCTAAATAATATATATTTATGACATTGTCGACTTGGCTATATGAACGAGAATCATACATCCAAACTTATAAATGGATACCTAGAATGATTTGTGATGTCTATAAATCTTGTTTACTTACCAAAAAGACAAGAATCTTTTTTTACTAGAAAAGGATAAAGAGTTATTAATTAGTTTGGCCTTTCATATGAAGATATATTTAGGCCCTTGTTTAATCATGTAAGAGGAGGATATGATTATTCATAACCTTTATTGATGACGGATCATGTTTTAGTTATGTATAAGACATAAGTCTAAAGCATTTGAAAGGTTCAAAAGAATTTAGATTTAAAGTTAAAAAACAAACTAACAAAATCATTAATTAGCAATAAATTTTAGATCACTTAAAAGAGAATGAGATTATTTATCAATGAGCTCGACATGTTAGACATGGTCCGGTTTATGATGAGTCAAATTAATATTTCTATTTTATTTTGGGATATGCACTCCTCTTAGCAATATGGACGAGCATCGGATGTTTTTGAACAAGGGATAAAGTGAGCCATCATCGAGTAATGATCCATAAGCATAAAGATAGAATCATGTCCTCTTAAAGTTTTAGGTAAAATGAGAATAAAATCCATACTTAAATCTTGCCAATGCTCATGAGGTAAAGGCAAAGGCATATAAAAATTGTATTCTGTCTCCTTCCCTTAGAAATTTGACAAGTATGACATCTTGCAATAATATGAGCGATATCCCTTTTCATACTTGGCTAATAAAATCTATCATTCACCATTGCAATGGTCTTATCTCTACCAAAATGTCTTGTTGCACCTCCAGAATGTAATTCACGAATCATTTCTTCACGTAAAGATGTGTTAGGCAAGCATAAACAAGTTCTCTTAAAAAGGTATCCATCATGTATGGAAAAATTAGGATGCTCATCATGTTGTCCAACTAATAAATCAACATAGATGATGCTAAAATCCCGACAAAAAGGTTAATCTTTCTTGAGTAAGTCGAAACCAATAACTTGAACATTCATACAATTATGAACTAGTGTCATACGACTAAGTGCATCAACTGTCTTGTTTTCAATTCCAACCTTATGTTTGAGAACAAAAGTCCATTCTTGTAAGAAAGAAGCCCAATTTGCATGGCGATAGTTTAGCTTCTTTTGATAGTTTATGTATTTGAGCTGACTCATGATCGGAATATATCACAAACTCCTTAGAATTTAAGTAATATCGCTAGTGTCACAATACTAGAACCACAATATAAAATTCTTTGTCATAGGTTAAATATTTTTGCTTTGCCTCACTAAGCTTTTCACTAAAATAACCTAGTGGATGTCTAACTTGGCAAAGTTAACCACCAATACCTACTTGAGATACATCACAAGCCACCTCAAATATTTTAGAGAAATATGAAAGGTGTAAAACTCGGAGCCTTGATCATCATCCTTTTGATTTCTTCAAAAGCCTTTGTTCTATCTTTCTCCAAATGAATTAACCTTTCTTTAAACAATTAGTTATATAAGCCATTATGGTGCTAAAATCTTTAATAAACCACCTATAAAAGTAGCTAACTCGTGAAAACTTCTTACTTGACTCAAAGTGGTTGAGGTTGGCCATTCCCTAATGACCTTTACCTTATCCGGATCGACTTCAACTCCATTTGATGAAACAATAAAACCTAGGAACACAACACTTGGAATCATGAAAGAACACTTCTTTAGGTTGACGTAGAGTTTTTCTTGGCGAAGAACTCTCATTATATATCGAAGATGAGAGATATGTTTTTCCTTGGTCTTGTTGAAAATTAAGATATCATCAAAGTAAATGATGAAAAAATGACTAATAAAGTGATCGGAGTATCCGGTTCATAAACCTCATAAAGGTGTTAGAAGCGTTAAAGAGCCCAAATGGCATGACTAGCCATTCGTAAAGTCCATCCTTAGTTTTAAAAGTTGTCTTCCATTCATCACCGGGTTTGATTCAGTAATCGATGATACCCATTTTTCGAGTCAATCTTTGAAAAGATGGTTGAACCCACCAAAACATCCAATATGTCATCTAGACGTGGAATAAGAAAGCAAGTATTTAATATTAATCTTGTTTATAGCTCAATTATCAACACACATACACCAAGTACCATCTTTTTTAGGTGTTAGTTATGTTGGAACAACACAAGGACTTAGACTTTCGTGAATAAATCCTTGAGATAACGATCATCAACTTGCCTCTTAAGTTCAACATGCTCATTAGGATTCATCCAATATGCTAGGAGGTTAGGTAGTTTTGAGCTTGGAACAAGATCAGTTGCATGTTGAATACTACGTATACGAGGCAATTCCTTAGACGGATCCTCTAATACAACATTGGAGAAGTCCAATAATAATCTAGTCACATCCGGAGTCAAATTAGAAATAGGGACAACAATTGATTTTTCTTTCTCTCTTGCAATAACAACAAAAATCACCTTCGACTTAGAGCTTGTTGCTTGGAATTATTTCTTAGCCAATACTTGGAGATAATTCTTTATGATGCCACCAATACCTTTTGAATTCCGAGACTTTTCTTCATACTTCTTAATATCAAGTGAACTCATTGGCCTTAGGACAATAACCTTCTTTTTAAAAAAAAAATATATATATGTATTCTCATGTCCATCATGTTTCACATCTCGATAAAAAAGCCAAAGTTGACCAGAAGAATGTGAGCAACTTCCATAGGAACCACATCACATAATATAAAATCATTTTAGGATCCTCAATTAAAGGAAACAAGATATTGTTGTGTTACCGAGATGGTTATGTTGTCAATCCAAGCTACTTTGTATGATTGCGGATGAGGGTTGGTAGGAAGCTTGAGGTGGTCAATTGTGGATGTTGAAACAATATTCATATAACTTCTACCATAAATTATAAGCTTTTTGGCTTGATTTCCACAACTAACCAAGGTCTAAAATATCGTAAATCATTTCTAATTTTCATCTTTTTCTACCTTAGGAGTGCAGGAATGCGTCTAACAATAAATAAAGGAGAAGTATCTTCGTTGTCGTCATTAGCAAGATCATCGGCTTTATAAGTTTCAAATTCAAGTGAATTGTCAAATTCTTCCCGCGTTTCGTCTCTTTCGTCGAATCCCAATATGCAAAATATTCTTTTTAGGACTTTTGTAACCTATGTGTCCATGCTCGCGACATTTAAAACGAGATAGACCCTTTTTTATCTCTAACTTTAATATAGGTTACATTAGAAGTAGATGGTTTTAAGGCATAAGAATGATTAAAAAGTTATGGAGAGGTCAGTCCTTAATTCTTTATTCATTTCATTGTACCTTCGTGTTGTTGTCCCTTGACTTGAAACCCGACTTTCCTTGTAATCGGTCGCTTTAGGTATTCTTTTGTATCTCGTTGCTATTTGAAATGTATGTATAACATTGTAAAGATCTTTCTCAAGTAATTCCCTCTATATATCGACCCTCAAACCAGCTTTGAATGCGGTAAAAGCTTGTTCGAGATCTTCCACAATCCGACCTCCGATCTTTAACTCTTCAAATTTTTCCATAGATTCATTAATAGTTAGGCTACTTTGTCATAAAACATAAGCTACCTCATGAATCTTTTGAACATAATTGGTTGGCATGTACTTTTCCATAAGTTTAGCTTTCTTCTCAAACCAAATAGTGATAGATACACGTATAAGTCGACATATGTCTTGTTCAACACGATACCACCAAATCTTGGCTAAACTCGTAAGTTTCATCTTTGCAAATCTCACTTTTCGTTTATCCGACATATCATACCAATTGAATAATGTTTTCATAGACCTAATCCGAGTCATTGAATAGTGTCGAATCCGCTTTTCCTTCGGAATCAAAGACATCAACTACTACTTTTTTTTAAATATCAACAATTGTGTCTTGTGAGTTAATTTGCTCCTTTTTTTGAATGGCCGAGTATGACTAGTTAGTTACTCTAGGCAACCACAACACCTTAAGTTTGTGGGAAAGACTTATTAGTTGATGTGACAAGCAAGTTGCTTGCCCAAAACAACATTTAAAAGCCTTTCAATCGATGCCTCTATTACTCGCAAATCTAGAATCAAATTTATCCTCCATTGTTGCAAATCCGGAATCAAATCGTCCTCTCTATCGCTGTAAGTCCGAAATCAAATCTTCCTTTAATGTTGTCCAACCTTTCATCCATAGATTTCTTGCTCGCTTCAACTTCTAGTCGAAAGACTTTAAATTTTGTATTGACTTCAGTAATAATCACCATGATTGAAGAACGTAGTAGGAAAAGTTTTTAGGATCTTGAAGCTCGATACCAATTGATGCGGGACGGTTCGAGGGCTATTCTAGATCCGATCTTTGAAAAAGGTTTAAGGCTATTTGGGTCTATATTGATGTGAATACGTACCGGAAATTATAAAACTATTACGATCACACTAATAAGGTTTCTAGGAATTGCACCTAGAGGATAGAAAACCTAAGCTCCACACTTAGGGTTCTTAGGAGTCACACATAAAGGAGATTGAGTCACACAATCAAAAGCAAATTGCTGAAAATTATATGATATTATTGTATACCGATTATTGAAAGGCTACATGCCGAATTTATAGAATTGTAGAAGTCCAAATCCAATTAGGACAAGGATTTCTAAACCTCCAACATAACTATTCCTAATTAGGCTAGGTAAGCCTATAACTATTCCAATTTTAGAGTAGGAAAACTAACTTTAGAACTAATAAAATACTTAAATAGAAATACCATAATTTTAGATTTTTCAATAAATCCGTAATTACTATAATGCCCTAATCAATCACCCAAATTCTCAATTAGGGCTGCTGTCCACGTCCCTTATCAAATAGCCAACAAAGTCCTATTTTAGCTATTTTTCGAATTTGACTAGGACTCGTTGCTTGAATAGGACTCTTAAGTTATGTACGAAAACTTTCGAATTGATTTAGGGTCGAAGACGACATAATCTTGACTCGGCTCTTAAAGAATATTGTAGATCTTGATGTCTTCTTTCTATAGGCTTTTGAATCATCTTAATCCAATATGTATAATTCTAGATATGATCCAAAAGCTAGGCAAGGTTCTCCGAATTGTCATGGAATCCGAATTTCTTTCCTCAATTTGCAATCGACTTTGAGGGCTCAAAATAGAATGGATTTATGAGTTTAAACACAATTTGAAAAGCTTAAGATGTCCACTTTGATTCTCAATATCACACAAGCCTAAAACACACATTTTATACAAGCATTAAATATAAAGGTCACGTATTATAACAAAACACACATATAGGACACACATATGTTTAAGGTCCAAACAAACACATAAACGTACATAGGAACATATTAAATTGAGGTGTTACATAAAGAAAGTGTCTCCTCTAATGTGCAGCCTTAGAGGCTATTTATATAAGGAGATAAATATGATAACCAACAAATTCTTATTTTATTTATTTTCCGAACTTGACTAGGACTTGTTACTAAATAGGACTCTAAGTTATGTACTAAAACTTCTAAATTAATTTAGAGTCGAAGGCGAGTAGAATCCGAACTCAAGCTCTTCAAAAATATTGTAGATCTTGATGTCTTCCTTCTATGGGCTTTTGAGTCATCTTAATCCAATATGTATAACTCAAGATATGATCCAAAAACTAGACAATGTTCTAGATTGTCATAGAATCCTAATTTCTTTTTTAACTTTACAATTGACTTTGAGAGCCTAAAATAAAATGGATTTATCTGTTTGATTACAATCTAAAAAGCTTAAGATGTTCACTTTGATTCTCAATAAAGCTTTTTTTAAGTTCTAGAGTTCTAAGAATGTGAAATTCTCATTTCTTCTTTTAATCAAAGGTCAATCTAGTAGAATTGAAACTTCACATAAATTAACACATTTTTGTTCTTTTGACTTCAATCATCTTCTAAATCACAAATAAATTTAATTCAACACATGTAACCTAAAGACACATAAAAAAGAATAATTATCAATAATAATGCCAATTATCAATTATCATATGCAAGCTATTGCACAAAACGCCTCAAAACAAACAATAACGTAATGGAGAGCATCGGTAACCAACTAATTCTCACTGAACTTGCACGATATAGAATTTAGGATATTTGGCTCTAAATTATTCAAAATCTTAATACATCCTTAAGAAAGAATCCCTGTTACATCACACATCCATTTCATCTCATTGACTGTTAAGGTACTTTTGGGCAGTTTTCGAATATTTCATACAATTCTTTTTTATTATGGAAGGAGACACTGCCCAGTTGATCATCTTAGGCAAAGCAATTTGTGGGGAACTGTATTCTTGATCACAAAAATACATTCCTTCACAGTTTTCTAAACTAGTTAATCTTTTTTTCATTATTATTATTTCAATCACTCAATGACAAATCCAACGGTGTTAAGGAATGGTTATCTTTCTGATTTTCAATTACTATTGTTCGGAAAAAAAAATCTCGATTTTTATTTATATATATTCTAAAATATTTATTTGGTCAAAATTTTCAATAGTATTTTTTTTTCTCAAATATCATAATTAATGAAGAAATTTTTTTTTTTCAAAAAACAAAAATCAATGTTCTTTAAACATACAAATACCTTTAATATAAAAAAATTTTTAAAAAAAAATCATTACATGAAAAATATTCGTTCTTATAAAAATTTTACTGTATTCTTAGAAAAACTTTATTTTTTTAAATAAATTTTTTTCTTAACTTAATATTGATTCCATGTAGTACATGATTAAATTTGATAACAAACAATATATATATATGAACAAAAAATATTAATATGACATAATGATTAATAACTTTTTTAAACACATTTTTCTTATATTTAAACCATATACTCTTGACTTTTTTATTATTTATTAAGACTTTCTACTCTTTTTTAGCTAGATTAAAACTATTTTTCAAGATTTTTTCTTCAAACCTGTTATTATAGCACAACTAATCAGTAATCAATAAATCACTTCTAATCTTCAAAATTTCTCATTTTATAATGTCATATGTCGAGATTAATAACATATAACAAAAAGGTTGAAGTAGAAAATCTTGAAAAACAGAAAATCTCAATCAAACTTAAAAATAATAATAATAATAAATAAATAAATAAAATTCTCAAAAAAAAAAAAAAATACAAAATCCAAACGTTGAAAAATCCATTTCTTAAACTACTTAAGAAGTCAAATCCTAATGATATCTTTGGGCCAAAAGTACTTGTGTACAAAAGTGGAGTAAAAAAGATCGAAAGCCATACCTACTCGATTTATGGAGTCTCGCAGAAAAAGATAAAGCACCTTCACACACAAGGGACCTTTCATTTCAACCCTTAGCCCGTTTCAGAAATGGTTCTGAATGGTTGTTAGGTACAATATTATTCATATTTGGGATCCGGACTTCCATTTACGCATGGAGGTAACTGTTTGCTGGCTTCTCAGCTTTGCAACTGGAGACAGCTAACAACAATCAAATCTAAGTAAAAGCACATGACATTAAGGGGAACAAAGTCAGGACGCCAAAAAGAAATATGCATGCCAAACAAGAAATCATTTCATCATCCAGGCCTACAACAAGCTTTAGAATCTAAAACTACAGATTTATATGATTCATTGTCACATACCAGCAATCTAAACATAATGAATTTGCTCCTGGTTTTACCAGGGAGCAGCAGGAAAATTGGCACTCTAGGGTTTCTGTAAAGACTTGCAGAAAAAGGAGAAGGCCTCTTTTAGTTCATCTGGAAGAGGGACTGCAAAAGGAAGCGCGAGGGAACAGCATTTGCCATGAGAGTCATGACTGTTCCTAGAAGAAATTGCGTGAGCCATTGCTGGTTGCTGCTTGTTCAGCCCTTCAATGATGAATGAGAATGCTCCAAAAGTGAGGCAACTCTGCAGAAGTGCCTGAGGTGCACCTGTAAATCCATAAGAGACTAGTAAGATGCAAACATACTGACATCTGAATGATTAAAAAAAAAAAAAAGCCAAATGAAGACATCCATCATGTACACCATTGCCCCTTTTTTTAGGGTCCAGAGAGGAAAAGCATTTTTGCATAACCAAATGCACTCTCCACCATTGAATTTTTTAGAGATCTAACATTAACATCTGTTAACGTATCTATTCAACTCCTTTTGGTTTATAATCATGTGCCAACCATAAGAATCACTATTTTAACAGTCAGCCACCTTTTTTTTATTTATCTTGAATTTGAGTCAGCATCTACTCTTTGAACCTTTATTGAGATGTGTTACCTCATATCTGACATCAAGCGCCATCTTCTTCTAGTTTATTATTTTTATTATCTTTTATTCTTTTTTTATATGAAAGTTCCTCATTCAAAACTTTAAAATTCCTCTAACAAAACCATAAGAGCAAATCATACCACCCATAAAAAAAAAAAAAAAAAAAAAAAAAAAAATCAGATTGTGACCTCAGTAAAAATAGACATCTTTTTTTACCTTTCAGGAACAAACATATCTTATTTGGAGTACCTCCCATGGAAGTACAAACTAGAGTTGGAAGAAGAGACTATTGCTTGTGGCATCATGTGTGAATTTATTGGAAACTTACTTTGACAGCAAAAATAGCTTACTTTTTTATTGTGGATAAGAACATTTTATTATTGAGGAATTGGACTGCAAACAGGACAAGAATAGGATGCAAAGGAAATATAATTGGCAGCAAACAAGAGAGACAGCAGCAACTTTGATACAAACGGCAATAAAGAATTAAATTCAAAAAGTCAAATCAGAAACAAAGTCTTCACGAAGGAAAATTTTTTGCCACTGTCATAGGCAATTTGGCAGACAAGATATGATCAGTAGAAATTGTAGGGTTTGATGGCTCCAAATAACACACTGAAGATTTGAGCAAGGAAAATTTGTTGAAGCTAAAAGCTAACTCAAGCAGTAACCTAATTCATAACACTTTTTGTAAGCTAGTATTTTGTTATCTTTGATTTGAGTACAGATATTTGTGATGGTATTTTTCTCCGTTTGTTTAAGAGGCATGATGTAAAAGAGTTAATCAACTGAGAAGAATAGAAATTAAAGATAGAAGTTTAAGGAAATAAGGAAAAATAAAAGTTAAAAAGCAGAAAAAGCTAAAAAGAAATAGGCATGTGAAAAATGTCACCATCAAGGAGCATTAACAATAAAAAGGTAGCCACTTTAACTAGCAGTTCAGCCCAAATCTCTAAGAAAATATCCAATCTTCAGCAGTTTTCATTTTTAAGAACTTCATACCAACCATATTTCTTGAATGAAATTTGGAAGTTCAGAAGTTTCAAATATCTGGATTGTTGCAAAATACTTCTTGAGGATAAATTTCGATGTAGAAAAATAAAGTTCATACAAAAAGATGGCGGGGGGCATACATTTAAAAAATAGGCAAGAACCCAAATGATTTGGAAGTCATCAGGAAAATAAAAGACTGTGAAGTCTCCAAATTTTAGCAATAAATGGCAAACGAGATATATGCTAAAAAAAAAATGGTATCAAATGGAAATGAAATGATATGCTTAAAACAAAAATAATATGATAGCTGATAAAGATTTGAGAGACGTGTCAAAACAGTGATCAAGTTCTGAGAAATACAATCACGAGCATTGTAGGTACTACGCTTGCTATAAAAAGACAACACACTGTGTGCACATCAAGGGAAAATACGTTTGAACAGACTGTCAATGATGAATGTCCACAAGATCATAAAATTTAAGGCTCAGAGACACTATGAGTATGAATAGCTAATATATTTTTTCAGTTGAGACAGAAATCAAGTGTTATATTTAATGTGTTAAAGTAAGATGTTGAATACCTGGAAAACTCAGAGCAAGACCAGTACAACATCCAGCTACTCCAGCATTGATGACTGCAACGAAAGAAGCATGATTAAAATATAAACAAGCAAGTAATGTGAAAGAACCAGTTCAACTGTTGACATATCATACCATCATCCTTCCCTCGCAGCCTCTTCAAAAAGCAGACAACCAAACTGTGTACTCCAGACAGAACTGCAAATGTCTAATACAAGAAACTGATAAGAGGAGAGGGGGAAAACTGAAAAAAGAAAACAGAGACTTTAGCAGCTAAAGACAGGAAGATATACAGCATAGGGTTAAACTTCCTCCACGAATTCTAATTGAAAAATCAAAGTAGAATAAGGAATAGTCAATTGAATTGTGCAAATAACTTCATAACCACTTTATAAGCATGCCTTTAAACCACTACACATGTGCACAAACGCTGTATGTTGCAAATAAGCAAGATAATGAAGAATAATTCACATCTCACACCTTGGCACAAGATCCTGCTTCCCCAAAGGATCCTTTGAAGCCTTTCTTCTTAACCAAACCCGAACCTGAAAGGCATCCATGTATATCATTCTCCAAAAACAGTTATATCTCACAACAGTCCACATAAAACAAAGAAAAATAGGCAAAACAATGTCCAATTGACACATGCAATAGAAAATTAGTAGAGTTCCTCCACATGCTAGAATCATCATCGAATATGAACAACTGATTTCTACTTACAACATTCAATTCAATGTGGCGTACCCTTTAATCAAAATAGATGATCGAACCAACAGAAAGAAAGAAAAAAACAAAAAAAAAAAAAAAAAAGGAATTCAAATAGGCATATCAGAGCCGAAGTCCTAGTTAATAGCACCCGTTTAACAGCAAACTAAAGACAAGAACAATATAACAGACTTACTTTGGAGCTGCCTAATGAACCAAAACAAGCAGAAAAAGTTCCTATAAAGTGTTCGATGTGCTGAAATCAGTTTGAAAAAAGAAATGAAACCACTGAGTTTTATGCCTTACAACTCTTTCTAAAAACTAACCTCAACAAAGAACACATACAGACATGCTGCCCTGCAATCTAAAAAGAAAACTTCAAACAACATCACTGCACTTATGCATTTGTCTCGAAACCCAATAGCCATAAAATAAAATCTCAATTATTGCTATTGATTCCAAACCTAAGAATAAGAGAACAACACAATTGAGAAAAATCCCAAAGAAAAAAAAAAAAAACAAGCAATATTATAAATATATGTATATGTATATGCATAGAAAGAGGACCGTAGCCGAAGATGGAGCCCATAAAGGCGCCGGCAGCTGAGTCACCAGCGAAGCGGAGAAGGCAGACAGAAGGGCTACTGGACTCAGCAGAAGAAATAATTAATGCATTGTTATTATTATTTGAAGAATTAGGGTTAGGGTTTGGGTTGGTGTCTTCGACATCGGAATCAGTGTTGTTGCTGTTGCTGCTGGTGTTTGGAGAATTCGCCGTCGCCATTGCTCTTTCACGCTTTCTAAGTCTTTCTTCTATCTATCAAAAATATCCAAAAAGCGATAATAACAATACGGTATGATCGCATTTTTCGTAGCTCTACTCTTTAACATTTTCTTTGTGTCGCGCTTCTTTTTTTTTTTTTTTTAATTTATTTGATTTCTTCGTTTTAATAGCAAAAAATCACTCTCAAACTATTTGAGCTATGTTTATTTAAAATATTTATTATTTAATTTAAATTATCTAGATTTCAAAATATCATTTTTTAAAAAAATATTATACTTCTTTAGTATATATAACAGTGAAAAAATTTTATTATTCTATTTTTTTAATGGTAAAAAATATTCTCAAACTATCAAAGTATTGCAAGTTTAAGTTTTTATTATCAATATGAATTATTTCTAAGCAAATATTATTTTGATTCTATTATTTTTTATGATTAAAATATTTATTATTAACTTGAATGCATGAACAATATCGTTTAAACGTTTTCTTGACGTAGTCTTCTATTAGAATTACAATTAATTTTTTAATAATAAAAAAAATAATAAATTAGGATATTGGAAAAAATTGATATGTAATAAGAAAAACTTTTAAAAAAAATTAGAGAAATAGATAAAATGAAAAGAAAAGAGAAACAAAATCATATTTGAAAGATTAGTAATTAATAATTTTTCTCATCATACCAAAAAGCTTATAGTCTAGTAGTAGTAGTCTCTTGCAAGAGATCGTGGGTTCAAATATTCTACTATGAATTTAAGTGTGTGAGTTATTAAAAATAAAAAAACTAATATAATTTTTCGCATCATCCCTTCTCTCTCGTCCTCTCCAAGTACTCAAGTTCCTAATATATCTTTTTTTTTAAATGAAAAGCAAATTACCATTAATAATGAAAAGGGAAGTAATCTTTGTTATAATTTGTCAAAAATCAAATTCCCTTTCTCTATAAATGTCATCAAATTCAACTAGATCTAAGCAATAAAAATAAATAAATAAATAAAAATCAAATTTCTCTCTCTCTCTTGTTAGAGAACAAAAACCCAAGTAGTGAAAAAAAAATAATCAAAACCCTTTCCCACCATTAATATTGCAACATGCAATAATTTTCATCCAATAATATATATCAAATTCACATTCCTGTGTCATAAAATAATTTTTTTTCAATCATCTCTTCTTAATTTAAACTCTTTCTCTCTCTTTAAAATTATGTGAAAAGATTCTTGAAAACTAATCAAATGAACTATCAGCGGATCAATCACAATACTAAAAATACAAAGAATTTGTATTATGATTTGTCGACGAGGCGATGGAGGATGTGCGAGAACAAAAGTCACCACCTAACTAAAGCTGTGAGAACTAAAAAACTCTAAACAAACTAGTATGCATAGATATTTGGGTAAGAAATCAATTACGTATGGAAAAGATATAATATTATTGTCATCCCGTTTTATCTAAGGTAAACTGCATTGTTTTCATGTGAAAATAAAAATATGATTTTACTATGTTATGTTTCTATACCTATTTAAGCGAATTTATTAAGTTGGAAAGGAATGGTAGAGTAATTTAGGGCTTAATTCAGTCCAAGACTAGTACCCATACTCAAAGGGTAAAGGTGGAGAAGATTGAAATTTCAACTAATCTACAGCGAACACAAACATATACCAATAAGTAGGTGGATTTCTAAAAATTGATAGCCCTTATTAACATGAACAAGAATCAATGACAACTTCACCACATAAGTAGAAAGCCACCTTCGACTTCGATTATGAGTTTAAGAAACTACTAACAATTTCATCAAATAAGTGAAAAGTCATCAATAACTCCATTTTGCTCTAGTAATGAGCAAATAACCGATTTGAAAACCACTGGTAACTTCATCACATAAGTAGGAAGTTATTGACAACTTCATTTTTTATGAATAGAAAACAAGTAAAATGATTTCAAAACCATTAACCTGTTTTATCATATGAGTGGAAAGCTACCGATAACTTCGGTTCAAATGAGCGAGAAAACGGATAAAACGACATAGAAACCACTAGCGACTTCGTTATATAAGTGGAACACCATCGGTAGCTCCATTTTAAATGAATGGAAAACAACCAAATTGACTTAGAAATTACTCGATAGCTTTATCCACATATGTGAAATGCCATTAGTAGCTTCATTTTTAGGCAAGAAAAAAACGAGCAAAATGACTTTGAAACCACTAATGGCTTCGTCACATAAGTAAGAAACCATTGGCGACTTTAATTAAGATAAACGAGACAATAAGTAAAAGTCTCAAACACAATTAGACAAAGTATTTTGATAACTTAATCATCCATAACATAATATTTTTATCATTCTCATTTATCATTCTAAGCAATCCGGATAAGTTCAAACGTTACTCACATATTATAAGAATGCTACAAGTCTCTCTTTTGGATCGGCTTTGCTTCCTTCGATCTTGATGAAGAATGATTATTTTAGTTACTCGAGATGGAGGAAGCAACTATTTATAAATGTCAAAGAGGTTGTTGTGTAGTGACTAAAATGTTATTGTTTAGTTGTGAAATGGCATAAATACTCCTATAAATAAAAATTATAAAAATGCCTTTAGCACGTATTTTACATATGTTGCCATTTTTCAACCGCCATAGTTACTACTGCTTTGGCTAGATCCAAGTGCATGGAAGGGCTCAAATGGTGAAGATAGGCATACTCTACATGTTTGTGGTGATCTCGAAGTTTTGTCAAATCTCCTAGTTTTTCTCTCTTTGATTCCTATCGGGATACTTGTTTTTAAGGCTCTAAATCTACCTAGAGATGTTCCTAAGACTCGGTTAAGAGCTTTTTTTCATCTTTAAATCAAAGTAATTTGGCCAAAAAATGAAGATAGGAATGTGTTAGGGTAAACAAGCTAAATGTGTCGTCCAAATCTTCTCTTTTATAATTCGATCAATTCGGTGACATGTCACTACAATTTTAAAGAGGAAATGCCCTAGGATGGTGAGGGACATTTCTCTAGTGGTGATGGCTCCTAATTTGGTTGAAAAATGGCCAAACCAATGGGAAAGAAACGAGTCGACCAAACTTTTCACCTTTAATTAAAGGCAATTTTATGTGTTTTTTGATCAAAATTTTGAGTTGTTTTGGTTGGATGCAAGTCAAAAATAGTTCTAGATTATTATGGGAGTTCGGTTTTGTCAAAATTAGGAGATTTATTTGGGTTGCTAAATAGGTCGAGCCATCAACCTTCTCTCCTTAATCTCGCCTAACTCGACATTGTCTTGTTCTTTAACTAGTGGAGATTGGTTAATTTAGAGCTCGACTAATGATTGGTGGTGGTGGATGAAGGCAATATCGATCGGAGGATGAATGATTTGGAGAAGAAATTTGGTGAGCCTAGGAGGTTAACCTATGAGTTGATGGGTTTGGTCTTTTATTTTGCTTTTTTTTTTTTTTTTGGGTTTTCCTTTTTTTGGGGCTTCATCCAATTTAAATGGTTAAAAAGGTTGAGTATTTATAGAAGAAAAATTAGGGTTTTTGGTAAAATTTAATTTTGGTCATGGGTTTCTCTTAACTTTTAATTTCATTGTTAATTTGTTTGGTTTTTTTTTAATAGTACCATTCTTTTCTTTCAGCTTAAAATTTTGGGACTTAGTCATTTCAATTGCACCCTCAATTGGGTTTTTTTAGTCGTCATACTTCATATTTTTTTAATTGAATCCCTAAATCATCTTCTCGTTGTTTTTTCAAATAATTCTCTTTTTGTTCTTTTTTTCTTTTTTGTATTTTTTTAAACAAATTTAAAAATTAGATAGAGGTAAAAATTAGGTATTAGCAATTACCTTCTCTTTACAATACTTTCTTTACAAAGTTATTGAAAAATCATTCTTTGACTTTGTATAGAAAGCTTTGTAAAGAAATAAAAAAGAAAAAAGAAGCAAATAGTGTGAACAACATATAAACAATAAAGTAATCATCGAATTTAAATGACAACTAACCATTTGACCAAAAAAGGTTGAAATAAAAGTATATGACATGAAAAACTATAATGGTGACGGACCATATGGTTTAAAAGGACATGACATATCATATTTTTTTAACAAGACGTGAGAGGCCATTCTAACTTAGAAGGATGTGATAGATTATATTGCTTTGATAAGTTATGACAGACCACTCTAACCTAGAAGGACATGATAGACCATGTTGATTTGGTAATATTGGATAAATCACTCGACCTAGAAAGATATGCTAGACCATGTTGATTTGGTAAAAGGTGACAAACCATTCGACCTAAAAAGGTATAACAAACTATGTTGATTTGACAAGATGGGATAGACCACTCGACATAGAACGATATAATAGACCATGTTGATTTAGTAAGTTATGACAAACCACTCGACCTAGAAAGACATGACGGACCATATTGGTTTGACAAGATGTGATGTATAAACCACTCTAATTTAGAAACACGTGATAGTCCATACTGATTTAGGAAGGTGCAATAGACCATTTTAACCTAGAAGGACATGAGAGACTATGTTGATTTGATAAGGTGCAATATACCACTCTAACCTTCAAGACATGATAGATCATGTTGATTTGATAAGGCATAACAAACCATTCTAACCCCGTGAGTTATGATAAACCATATTGATTTTGTGAGGCATAAGAGACCACATTGGTTTGGTAAGAGGTGATAAACCACTCTAATTTGATAAAATGTAATAGACCATTTTGATTTTGTAAGATATGATAGACCACTCTAATTTGGCAAGACGTGACAAACTACGCCGATTTTACAAGACATGAAATACCACTTTGATTTTACAAAACATGACAGACCACTCTTACTTTATAAGATATGATAGACCACTTTGATTTTACAAAACATGATAGACCACTCTAATTTTATAAGATATCATAGACCACTTTAATTTAATAGGATGTGATGGACCATATTGGTTTAAAAGGATATGATAGATCATGTTTTTTGACAATATGTGATAAACCATATTGAT